AGCAACATCCTAGATACCACACAGAACACCTTAGCAACACCTCAACAACCCTCTATAAACCCCACAGCATGGAGCGGCAGTTAAATGATTCCTCACAGTGATGAATTCAGATATTTTCTTTCTGTTTTAGTTTATTAATCTGCAGGACAGACGGACAGTGCGGCATCAATAATCCAGACTCCACTGCGCCGTCTGTCACAGTCTCAGAGCAGCATGACACACACACGCACACACACACACACACACACACAAACACACTAGAGCCAGTGTAGTTGATCAGTTCCCCTATAGCGCATGTGTTTGGACTGTGGGGGAAACCGGAGCACCCGGAGGAAACCCACACCAACACGGGGAGAACATGCAAACTCCACACAGAAACACCAACTGACCCAGCTGAGGATTGAACCAGCAACCTTCAAATCATGCACAGTTCATCTGTAAATTGTAAGAAGATGAGTTTACTCACATTTGTAAGTAAAGTCAATTAATCATTTTAGTGTGCACAAGATTAAAATTCAAGCTGCGTCAATGATTTTGTCAATGATGAAAAAAAGACTTGCTTCATCTTAAACATATCTAAAAATTCTAAAATCATCAAGCATTTTCTAGACAAGTAAAACATTGTTTTGTTTTTGGAAATAATTAGTTAAAATCAATTTATAAATTTAATTTATTATATAATTTAATTCATTTGTTTTTATTTAAAAGAAAAATAAGCGAAAAATAATGTGAAATAACCTTACATTTCTTACCCCTTTGGCAGATTATTTAGCTTGTTATACTTTAAAATTTTGCCTCATTATTTCTGAAAACAAAACATTATCTTTGCTTGTCAACAAATTGCTTCTTGATTTTAGAATATTTCAGCTATTAGGACAAAAACCCCACTAAAAACACACAAACCCTTCATTCATGTCAGTGTTTCCCGCACAATTAGACTGGTCTGGAATCAGATTTCTAACAATGTGCAAGTGTTTTATTTTCCTCTTGTTTGTCTTCCCATGAGAACGGTTAAAGAATTCATGAGTTCAGAGCGCTGTGAGATTCAGACAGCGGTGCAGGATTATCATCCATTACAGCGCAGAAAAAAGCAGAGAAACTGTTAATCAATGAGGTCTTCAGACTGGAGGAAAACACCACCGACAGACGCTCAATGCACTGACACCACACATCTAATTAAGAGCTGCGCACAAAACTTCATTGGGAGAGAAAACGAGGCTTCAGAGAATTCCAGAGGACACGGAGTCAAATAAATGAGGGAAAACCAGCTCTGGAACCAGGCGGTGGACATGAGAAATACTGTCACATCTTAAAGGAGACCTATTCTGCCCTTAATACAAGATGTGATATAAATCTCTGCTGTGTCTAGAGTGTGTAGTGGAGTTTGAGCTGAGAATAGCACACAGATAATGTTCTCCAGCTCTCTGAAACTGACCCTTTCAGGATTTGATCCTAATTGTGGTGTTTTGGTGACTGTCGCTTTAAATGCAAATGAGATTGTGCTTTTTTTCAGAAGAGGGCGGGGCTACAGACAGCTGTGTGTCAGCATAGTGACAGATGTAAAACAGTGGTGTGTGCTGTCAGTGCTGGTCAAGTGTGCTTCAGTGTGAGTGTGTGTGTCAGTCTATGTCGCTCCTGTCGCTGTTTATCTAAAACTCCACATTTTTAATCCTATTAGTCTATGCTGACATCATCTTCAGCAGCTCAAACACTCTAATGGCTAATGGACAGATGGCTGCTTCTCACTCAGGCCTGCTGTTTATGCTAATGAGATGGAGAGATGGGCACTAGTGGGCGGGGCTTTCCTCCTTTGATGACACGTACAGAGGGAGACTGTCAATCAAAGTGTTCCTGCAGACTGTTTTCATCAAGTCTGATTATAAATAATACAATTAATTCATGTTTACCAATAAAGGCTGGAGATATTCACACACTGCTGACACATTTCTATTTCTTCTAACCTGCTATTGCTATTTAACCTTTAAGGGATAAAGTTTAGTGAACATTATCAGAATATAGATATTAATAAAAGTTTAAAGCGTCACTGGTTGTGTTGATGTTGAGCTTCACCTGCTGCAGTGTTGTTGTTTTTCCTCCACACTTCTGTGAAATCATCATCATCATCTTCTCAGTCTTCATCTCTGTGTTTTCAATCTGTGTGGAAGAATGAAACTCGTGCACAGATCCAGATTGTTTCACCGCTTCAGATGCTGGACATTCTGCTGTTTCCAACCAAATCACACTGCAGGGACTGACCTGAGTTCAGCAGCTGAACTGGACTGGAGCCTTTCCTGAAGCTGAACACTCTGTTAAAGCACATTTCTGTCTGAGAACTTAATCAATCAGTTATTTGTGAACTTTACCTGTGATGCTGCTCAGAGAAACACACACACACACACACACGCACACATGCACGCGCGCACACACACCCATAAACACATGTAGACAAAGACACATACATCCAGGCTTGGCGGGATGTACAGGTGGATGACGGAAAAAACCGACAGATAAAAGAACAGAATACACAACAATTGGATGAATGAATGAATGAATGAATGAATTGATGGATGAAAAACAGACAGATGAAGAGAAATAAAATGAATAGAATGAACAACAATTAAATGGACGGATAGATGAATGAATGAATGAATGAATGAATGAATGAATGAATGAATGAATGAATGAATGAATGGGTGGATGAATGGATGGATGGATAGATGGATGAATAAGTGGATGATAGAAAAACTGACAGATAAATAGAATGAAAAACAATTGAATGGATGAATAGATGAATGAATGAATGAAAAGATAGGTGGGTGGATGAAAGGATGGATGAATGAAAGAATGAATGAATAAATGATTACAAGACAGACGAATGAATAAATGAATGAATGAATGAATGAATGAATGAATAGATGGATGAATGAATGAATAGATTGGTGGGTGGGTGGATGGATAGATGATCACAGGACAGATAAATGAATAAATTAATTAATAATTAATGGGTGGATGGATGGATAGATGGATGAATAAGTGAATAACTAAAATTAATAAAATTTTGAAACTGTAATAATGGGACAGAGACTGAAGCGTGTTATCCTCTAGCAGTCACTAAGCCAGCATCACATCAGTGTTTAATCAGCATGCACAGTTAACTCATCTCTCCATTAATGTGATCTACATCTGACTGGCTGAAGTGTACAAGCACAAACACTGCTCATTTCATCAAGTCTGCTGAACAGCATCCAGTATAGCTGATCTGACCTCAGAATGGAGCTTTACTGCAGCCTAAACCACATCTCAGTTCAACCAGGAGAGTTTGAGTCTGCTTTATTACCGCAGGATTGAGGAAACTTATCAAATGCGGTCCAGAGACTCCAGATCAGCGCATTAATGGCATGTTGAGAGTCAGAGTGAAGCGTTTACTGTCAGAAGACATGAAGAAAAGCGTCAGTCAGCACGGGGAAATGTGGAAAACTTGGGTAAACACGAGCTAAGATGCCAACAAACAGATTTACAAAGTAGAATAAGCAAATCATCCATCCATTAATGTGAAGTGATCGTTCTAGACGGAGGAATAAACACATTTGATGTCAGACACGACAGGCGAGGTACACTACTGTTCAAAAGACTGACGTTTCTGAAAACACTTTATTAAAGATGCTGATTACACTCATCAAACCTGACAGTGCAGACACTTACACTCTTACACAACATCTCTGCAGGAGCCGCTTTTAACTGTGAATCCTGGAAAAACATTACAGCAAGAAGGTCTCTGGTTCGAGTCTTGGCTGGGTCAGTTAGTGTTTCTATGTGGAGTTTGCATGTTCTCCCTGTGTTGGCGTGGGTTTCCTCCCGGGTGCTCCGATTTCCCCCACAGTCCAAACACATGCGCTATAGGGGAATTGATGAACTACATGAGCCGTAGTGTATGAGTGTGTCTTTGAATGATTGTGTATGGGTGTTTCCCAGTACTGTGTTGCAGTCGGAAAGGCATCCGCTGCATAAAAGCTATGCTGGAATAGTTGATGGTTCACCCCACTGTGTTGATCCCTGATAAATAAAGGGACTAAGCTGAAGGAAAATGAATGAATGTTTAGAAAACATTCAGAAATAAAATTTCAAGAGTTCACACTTAGCTGATGATTAATTATAAAGCTTGTTTGGCATGCTGTCCCGGAAGAGAGCCCTGAGCTCATGAGATCCTCGAGCCCAGGGAGGGGAGTTTGAGCTCAGGTAGATCTCGAGAACTCCCCTGCTGTAGCAAGTGAATGCTCTTGAAACTAATTACTAACTAGAAGTGTGTCTATATTGACAATTTGGATTGTTCAATTAACTTAATTGCATGTTTTTAGGCGGTGGGAGGAAACCGGGGAACCCGGGGGAAACCCACGTGAGCACGGGAAGAAGTGCAAAACTCCGCACAGAAATGTCTGCTAGTTTTGGTAAAGCCAGGAACCAGAGACATTCTTGCTGTGAGGCGACAGTGCTAGGCACTGGGCCACCGTGTCACCCGTCTAAGAAGGAGGCGTAGGGGAGGAAGGGGGGAATAAACCCCAGGGTATTTATAGTAGTTTAGGAGTCATCTGATTGGATCGTAGTGAATTGGATAATGCGAGTCAGCTGCTAGCAATCATAAGTACCCTATAAGTGTTTAGGGGTGGGGTTAGGTGTCATGCCTACTATTTAAAATCGTACAATTTCTTACGACTGAACTCATACAAATTCGGTCTAAATAGCCACTAAACTGCCAAAACGTAAAATACGTTTTCTCGTGAGATCAGGCTGGAGCACTTGGAGGAAACCAACACGAATGCAGGGAGAACATGCAAACTCCACACAGAAATGGTATATATCTCTTATTTTCACACCCCAATGTTGACAGGTATGATTGTTACGGCTAACCTGATGAGAACTTCAGCAATATTTGTAAAATCAGACTTTTCCAAGTGAAAGATCAGAAGCCAAATAAAGATGCCCTGTTAAATATTATTCATGAGGCATTAATAAGAGTTTATTAGCAGGAAGAGAAATAAAGCTTGCGTTCACGTCACCACGACATGCGGAAGGCCATAGAGGACCATGTTGAAATGAGCAGCGCTGAGGGTGATTCTCTGAGCGTCTTCATTTACAGCTGAAACACAGAAACACACACTCATCAGCCTGTGTTGAGCTTCATAATGTGTGTAAAAGCAGCAGAAACAGCGTACGTACACACACACACACACACATATATATGCACGCACCTGTCTGACTGCAGAATTCTGTGTTTTCTGATCTGTGTGTTCTTAAAACATGAGCGGCTCGTCCTGACGTCAGTCCACCTTCCAGAAGATCTACACACACACACACACACACACACACACACACACACACACACACACACACACACACACACACACACACACACACACACACACACACACACACACACACACACGCGTGTGTGTGCGTGCGTATTTGTGTATGTGATTGAGTGAATATGTATAGGTGTGTGTCTGAGTGAGTGAGTGTGTGTGTGTGAATGTGAGTCTGTATGTGTGATTGTGTGCGTTTGTGATTTATTGTGTGAGTGTGTGTGTATGTGATTGAGTATGTATAAGTATATGTGTGTCTGAGTGAGTGTTTGCGTTTGTGATTTATTTTGTGAGTGTGTGTGTGTTTTTGAGTGAGTGAGTGAGTGAGTGTGTGTGAATGTGAGTCTGTATGTGTAATTGTGTGTGTGTTTGTGATTTTTTGTGTGTGTGCGCGAATGAGTGAGTGAGTGAGTGTGTGAGTGTGTGAATGTGAGTCTGTATGTGTAATTGTGTGCCTTCGTGATTTATTGTGTGTGTGTGTGTGTGTGTGTGTGTGTGTGTGTGTGTGTGTGTGTGTGTGTGTGTGTGTGTGTGTGAATGAGTGAGTGAGTGAGTTAGTGTGTGAGTGTGTGAGTGTGAGTCTGTATGTGTAATTGGGTGCGTTCGTGATTTATTGTGTGTGTGTGTGTGTGAATGAGTGAGTGAGTGAGTGTGTGAGTCTGTATGTGTAATTGTGTGAGTTTGTGTTTTATTGTGCGTGTGTGAGTGAATGAGTGAGTGAGTGTGTGTGTGTGAATGTAAGTCTGTATGTGTAATTGTGTGCGTTCGTGATTTATTGTGTGTGTGTGTGAATGTGCGTCTGTAATTGTAAGTGTTTGTGATTTATTGCGTGTGTGTGTATTTGTGTATGTGATTGAGTTTGCATAAGTGT